AAGTTGTATAACTACATCTTCATCAATCATGTCGAATACATCCTTCTCAATATACACAAGTAAGCTATCATTTAATAATTTATCATTCATTCGATTGCGCAATTGATTCTAACATAGTTCATTACAGAAAGAATCGGGTAAAATTGGATTAGTAGGGTTTAATTTTATTAATTGTGAGGACAAAATGGTAAATAAAAAATTTAAAAAAAAAAACTTTTTTGTCAAAAAATTGGGGGGTCCAACGATTACGATGTGTGCAGATCTGTGTGATGCATGTGCAGATATGTATACGATGGTATGTTTGGAGGTGGTGGTAATGGATTGGAGACAATGGTTATGATTTGTGTGTGGTGCGTTTAAAGACAGTAGTGCTGCTTGGGTGGTGGTTATGTGATGGTGAGGTAACATCGGTATTTCTTTATGGTGTCAATGGTGATGGGTTAGAATGGATGGAATGAAGAGCGATTTTGACTAATTATTGGATAATTTTGATCATTTATTGGGTAATTGTGATCCATAAAATCATCATTTTGTGACCAACAAATAATATGTGATATAAAAAAATGTGCATTCTGTGATTAAATTTGACCTACAATTTGTAACTGATAAATAAATTGTAATCAATTAATTTTAATTTGTAATCGATAATAATTTGTGACCTATAAAAATGTATAATTTGTGATTAAATTTGTAATTATGACTTACAATTGTGTTATTGTGACTGTGAACTTGTGTAGTTTGTGATTGAAGTGTCATCGTTACTTGTGATTGTGACCCATTTAATTGAATTATAGGTCACAAAGTTTTATCAGTTGTGACAAAAATGATCACCTAATTTTGAAAATAAAAAATAAAAAAATCATGAGTGTAGAAAGAGAGAGAGTGAGGTGTGAAAGAGAAAAAGAGAAAGTGTGCAGCGTAAGAGAGAGAGAAAAGTGAGAGACAATTATTAAATAATATATTAAAGGGAGAAAAAATATGATGTAAGATAGAGATAATGAAAAAGTGTGATGTCATAGATTTTTGAATATAATTTTGAGGAGAATAGAAATTTTGGAATAGTGATTGATGTGAGAATGTGGGGTGGAAAAGTGATGAAAAGTTTTAGATTTGTGTGTAATATTATTTTATTTGGAGAATGTGTGGTTGAAAATGAGTACCGTAAAAAAATGAATGGGAAAAAGGGAGAAAGAATGGGGCTCAAACATGGTATAAGACTTAGTCTCCGTTTGACATCCATTTTTTTGGGTAATTTCTCATTTTTCTACAGTGAAATGTGGGTCCCATGTGCCAAATTGCAACAAAAGTCAATCCCATGTGACGGCAAGCAGTACGGTGGACTCAGACAAAAGTCCCTTTCAATTTCAAATATTGAAATTNATATATTAGGATGCGATAATGGTTATCAAATTATCTTATTTAGCACCTAATTTATGAAACTTTTTTATATGAGTTTGTTAAATATTAAATTATTTATTTAAAATTTTGAATTTACGTATATTTCCCTACTTTAAAATTGCAAGACTTAATTAAAATAATCAAATATAAGTTTTTCTTAATTAATGCACCTGGCAAGCCCACACATGAGGGTGTCACGTGACTCGCCGGCTAGGGTGGCGTGTGGCTCGGCCCAGGAAAAGTCTGAGCTAGCTTTGCTCGTGACTTGGGTCAAGCCCTATTTTCGGGTGTCGGCTCGAACCAAGTCAGCTTGCGTGGCTTGTCGAGCCACATGGGTCAGCTAGTGATGAGCCGAGCCGAGCATAAAATAAATAAATAAAATATAAGTAGGTGCCTGCAAAACTTAAAAAAAAAAAAAAAGTTTGACAAAGCAGTTAACTACTGCCTGCCATTGTAGGCAGTAGTAAGTAGTAACTATGCTACTTGTGTTGTGTACGTCAAATTTCAACTTTTAAATTTGTTTGAAATTCAAATTTGGTTTAAATGGATATATTTTTTCTATAAATATGCGCTAAAATTTTGAGTTTCATATCAATTTATTTCAATCAATTTTAATTTGCAGTATTCTAGCTTTAATTTCAATCTTCAATTTCTTTATTCAAATATTCAATTTTTTTTACTCTAATAATTATTATCTTTTGCTATAGTAGCTATATATGAATTTTACTAGTGATGAGATTAATCAGTATAAAGGTAGTTCAAATACTCCATCCGGTTACGATATATCTCAAAATATTCCAATTGATTTGGAGGATATCAAAGAGGAAGAAGTACTCGAGACTAAAAGCTCGAAAAAAGAATCATCGAATCTTTGACAACATATGATACGTAAAAAGGTTGGTGTTTAAAATTGAGTTGATATTTGAAAAGCATGTTACAATTATTGTGACAAAGAATTTAGTTGGAAACTCGATTCAAGTACATCGCATTTGAATAGATACAAAGCGATACCAATCGGTCTCGACCTGAAAGAGGCCAAACTAGTGTTTAACGGTTCTGGTTGTATTATTTCCACATTTGTATGTTCACATGAAAGATTTCGTCAAAGAATGACTGCTTACGTGGCTGCAGCGGAGATGCCGCTTACGATGATATACTCAATATACTTTACCTGACTTGTGCAGAATTATCTCTAACCCAAATATACTTATTATTGTAGAAATACTATTCGTTCAGATACTGTAAAATTATATAACAAAAAAAACAAATTACTATTGAAAGTCTAAAAACTTTTAATAATGTTATATCACTTACCTCTGATTATGTACCAGTGCTAATAAAAAAAGGTTATATTACTGTTACAACTCATTACATTGATCACCTGCGACTTTTACATAAAATGATTATTGCATTCAGATGTGTAGAATATCCTTATAATATCACTAACATATACATGATTTTAAAAGATATTATGGAAGAATATGATACGTGAGAAATGATTTAAAATTTTACTTTTGATAATGTTAATGTGAACAAAGTTGTTATTAGAAAATGTTTTAATAATCTTAACCATACATTTGGAAATTTATTTTTTTCATCAACGTTGTGTATGTCACATTATCAATTTGATTATAAAAGATGGATTAGAACGTATAAAATTGTCTTTTAAATAAAATTAGACAAACAATAAATTTTATTACTGTGTCACTAGTAAGAAAGTAAGTATTTAACAGTTTGTATGTAGAGTATGACTTACAAGATAAATCATTTGTCATTGATGTAACACATAGATGGAACTCTATATATTTTATGTTATAGGCATGTGAAAATTATGATAAAGTTATTTCACTATATTATAATGATAGGCATACACATGGACCCTAACATAATTTTGAAGATTGGAAATGGTTTCTTGCATTTTATGTGAAGAAATTCTTAAAACATTTTTTCGATATCACAACCCTACATCTTCACTTGTTTTACAACACTTTTTTTCTATATTTCACAATTTATGAAGAAATATAGGAATTTGTCAAATTTTGTTGATATATTTTAATTTATGGAGTTAAAATTTAGTAAATATTGGAAAGAGTTGTCCTCTTTTTTCTTTTAACTTCGGTAATGGACCATCGACTTAATTTAACCGACACAAAATCTATTATAAAGAGGATTTCAAATTCCATGAATGTAAAATTATCATATGTGCATATAAAATCTATATTATGTGAAATATATAAATATTATGTTAAAAAGGAAACCAGGGCAATTCTACTTCTCAAAGTTCTTTATTAAAAATATTTCAACAAATTTAGATGATATACAAAATTATTTGGATACTAACACAAGTGTTCCCTCATTTGGTTCTAGTTCATCAATGTCTAAAGCCATAGATGTTAGTTGTACAAATTTTGAAATTCCCTCTGAGTTGGCTAGGTATATGTGTTGGACGTTCGTAGTGTGTTACAACCAAAAGAATTACAGGAATTTAGGTTTATATCATGATGGAGGTGTAACGAAAGACCATATCCAATTGTATAAAAAATTGCACGTGATCTATTAACACTCTGATGTCTACGGTAGTATCGGATGCTATATTTAGTTTAAGTGGTTGAATTTTATCAGACGAACGATTAAGACTAAAAGACTAAATATTGAAGACTTTAATTTGCCTGAAGGATTGGGAATGTGCAGAATTACGCATTCAAAAACAAGTTGACAGTATAATGATCGAAGAGTTGCAGCATATCCAGTGATAAAATATTTTTAAGTTTTTAAATTGATTAGTTTAAAAAAATATATAATTTTTAGTATACAAAATATTTTATTAGTGTACAATTTTAACTCTGCCTACGTTGATTGCAGCATGTTCCAAACCTGAAAAAATGAGGAAGGCTGTAACTTTTATTTAATTTATAATTCGTATAAATTGCACAAATTTTAAATTCTTTAAAAAAATTTAAAATTTTTCAAAAATTAAAATTAAAAAAAAAATGGCAAGCCAACTCGATTCAACCTGGCTTTGCTCGCTAAGGCCCGAGCCGAAAGCTTGGGTCAAGCTAATATTTTTTAGCTGAGCAAAAGCTCGATTCGGGCAAAAAAAAAAGTTCGAACCATTTTTATTCGAGTCGAGTCTGAGCTTCAAGTTTCAACTCGCTAGCCGGCTCGATTCGTTGACTTCCCTATCCACACATTCAAATTATAGCATTTTCAATGGGTAAGATTATTTAACCATTAAAATAAGGTTTTTTTTTTTTTAGAAAATAAATTTTGAAATAGTGATTTTTTTTTAATAATGAATTTTGAATTGATGTGCACGAGATTTTATCGTGAAAATGTGTGATTAAAAATAAATTTGAATAGAATTATTTTTCACTTTTACCCTTGCTTCGTGGGCCCAATATTGCAATAAATTCTTTATTTTCACTATTTCAGATGATCATTCTCGAGGGTAATTCGGTCTTTACTGTACAATTAGGTGATTAGTAGGGAGCTTAGTGGTCCCCACACTCCCTCATTCTCTTCAAAGAATCGATTCTTTTGTTAAGGAAATCTGCAGCGAGCAAACAAAGGCTAATCCCTATCCATCAAAAAAGGGAGTTGAAATGAATGAAAAATCATGGCTTTGCACTGCTTTTACACAGCTAACTCTCTGCATTGCACTTTACATAGCTCTTAATATAAGTCAGCCCCAGAAGCATACTTATGGGAACAGCAAAAATGGAGGCAGAAACACTGATATGTACTTCATTAGTGTTGCTGGAGGATCTAGGCCACTTGAACAACAAACCTTTTTACTTAAACAGGTGAGATTTGTAATCTCATTGACGGGTTCAAGATGGGGAATTTTCTTGATTGTTTCTTCTGCTATTCTGCTATTGGTTGTGGACCTATGATTGATGTCCTGTTGAAAATTTCTGGTTTTCTTTTGTGGATCTGTTGAGTTTTCCCTTTTGTTGCTTGTGCAATTTTAAAGGATTTTGTTAAGCTAAAAACAAACGTAATTGATAAATGAACACAATTTTCACAGATGCTGATAAGGATCTTGATTATTGGTAAATATGTAATTTACTGCAGATATTTATCGAAAGTTTATATTTTCAGTCAATTAAATTGCATTTTCTTGATTTCTATAGAATTTATTTGTATGTTCAAGCTATGTCAACTGATCCAGATATATTTGATTTGGTTTTATTTGGTCCCTGAAATTTTTATTTTAGCATTAATTATATTGTAATTGTTGGTTTGGAGACAATTTTGATAAATTTTCTTGAGACCCCTTTGACTGTAACTTGATGGTAATGAAGGTGGAGAAGGTAGTGACATCCTACAAGGCTCGGTTTATAGTCAACATTTGTGAACTTGGGGAATCCGATCCACTCCTGCAGAATGTAAGATCTGTATGCTGGTTTTGGCTGACAAATGGCATGTTACCGATTCATTTACATAGATTTTATTTAAGGTTTTGAAGATTGTCGTGATTGGACATTTTCATGCATTCATTTGTCTAGTTGAAATGTGTCAACGCTTCCTTGACTAGGTTTTAGTTAATTCTTCAGGCAAGTATTATTCCAAGAGGTTACAAGAGTTATGAAATTCCTTTATTTGCGTACTCTAAAAACCTAGGAATTTAGGTCGAAATTGGTTTCCATTTTCGACTTTTTCCGTTTGGGAAATGGTTATTAACGGGTGAACAATTTATAAATTTTTGAAAACTATGGATGTTGACTGATTTTACTAGCTTTAAAGATAAAAAGTAAACCAATATTCACTACTGAACCTCGTCTTCCTAGCTCGTTTTCCAAACTTAAGAGCTCTTGCATTCCCCTATTGAAAACTAGAACTCATTGAAGAAAACTAAAATTAATTTTTAACTTTACTAAAGCTAGTTTTCATAGAATAACTGCTAATGTCAAACTAAATCATCTTTCTGTAACAGGCTACGCGATACCCTGAGTTGCAGAAAATACCATGGTACTCTTCCCCTTTAAATAGTTTTAAATTTCAGTGTATGGCATTTCACACTGGTAGTAGGTGCTGATTTTTTGTTATAATTTAAAATCAAATTTTCCAATTTCTTTTCGTTTATCCCAATGTCTAGGTACACTACTAGAGCATTGAAAGGAGAAGGAGCAAATTATTTCCACAAGAAGATTGAAATTCCTTATGGACAAACACTAGATATTATAGCCATGGATACTGGGCTACTCCAGGTGTGAATTCCATTTTACCAAATGCCTTCTTTATGTTATATCTTCTGCCAATAGAATTTTGATTTCTTCTTCCTTGTGGAAGTTATTCTTCTGATCACAATGTGTTGATGCCAACTTTCATCAAGTCATCAACATGCATTATCTCGCTTTTTAAATGTACTTATTGCTTTATATATTTTATTTCACTCGCTCATTTGAGAAATTCCCAATCTGTGGAAAAGGTAAGATCCCCAGACGTGGGGAAGTAAAAAAGGAGATACAACTTGACTAGGTATCCAAGTAATTATGGCACTTCGTATCTACTTATATATGGTTGAAAGAAATAATTGTTGTTGTGAAGTTAAAAGCATGCTTTGTGAAGGGAACAAACAATACCTAATCATATATTGAGTGATTCATATTAATTTCACCACATTGTGAGATAAATTCTTCATCGGTAAATAATCAAGAGAAAAAATAAACAAAATGAATTGAACAGTAGGCATGGAGAATTCTCATTAGAGAATTCAATATTGTACACAATCATTTTTATAAAATATACAGATTTAACATATAATGGGATCTATCAGAAGATGATAGTAGGTAGATGGGGAGTGACAGGGATGCAAAGTCTGTAGAAATTAAAATCTGTTATAATATGTGAAAATTCATTTCTGAAATTAAGTTAGATAAACCAATTGTCAATATAAGAAAGCAAATTTGAGATGTTATTTCATTACCAATTATCTCGTTCTTGCCAAAGAAGGGATGTGCTATTCAAGAAACTAATGTAGAGATTCTTATATTCTGTTTTATGGTATTATAGTTTTCTTAAGACTGTATTGACTTGATAATATTTAGGACTCTTCAAGTGTCGCTGAAAATGATCAGCTTCAGTGGTTAATGACAACCCTCAATGAAAGCAGTAGTAACTGGTATAGCTTCGCAACTAGAGCTTCGTGTTTCTTATTTATTAAGCACGTATTACCTTAATTATTTATTTCTCCTTTTCCTCAAACGATGCAGGAAAATTGTTTTTGGATTCCACCAGTTGGTGACCTCTGAAGAGAATGTACAGAAAATGGAACCAATTTTTGAACAATTATATGGTATATTTCTTAACTATGGAGTGGTAAGTAATAGGTTTTCATCCTCTTTACGCTTTTATATCCTCCCAAACAAATAATTTGAATTTATATTTTGCACATGTTCCTGTTGTACATGACTGTTTCAGAAACCTACGTTGTTTCCATTCTCCTTTTCCCAACTTAGAAATTCTTAAAACTAAAAGGGAATACGTTATAAGATTCGCTCATGTCACCTTCACCTTGGCCTTTTTCTGAAAAGAATGCATATTGGAGCTGGCGGGCTGATACTCACAATGTTCAAGGAGGTACCATGCAGTTGACTGATGTAGATCCAATGGATAATCACCGTTATCTTACTGCTGTTAATCAAAATTTAGTCTACAACAAGTGAGTGCTAGCATTCTTGAATTCATCTCTCTTGGGATGCATGCAGCTGATTTGGTGATATCTATTTACCTTTTTCTCCATATATATATATATATTTTTTTTTTTTTCAGGGAAATGGTAAATGAATTCCTTCTTCATTGGGTTAGTCCACTGGAAATTGTGAGTGTCAACTATCACACTCCTTAATCTTTTCTTTCAACAGATGTGCATGTTTGAACAATTCTCTATCAAAGTCGTGTGTATGTGTATATCCTATTTGGCATGTGAAATATTAAAGCATAATTTTTTTTTTTTTTTACTAATTAATATGCAAATTACGGGATAAAGTCTAGACTTAACGAATCCAAGATATGTGCATAAAAATGAGCACAAAAAGACTTATAGAATTACAGAAATTAGGAGAGAAAATGAAGTGAAATATGCTGAATGTCAATCTTTGGTGCTAATAGGATTAAACGGACTTTTGCCTCCCAAGACAAGATACATGCTTCTTCTAAAATTAATATCGTACACTATTTATTTTGTGGGTGAACCGAAGCTTGAACTTACTCCTCTACATTGGATGATATCGAACATTAAACTAGAAACAAATTTAAAATTATTTAAACAGAATTTTGAGAGAATAAATATAGGAATTAATTGTTTTGGAATTTATTTAGAGTAAAGAAAAAGGGAATTAAAAGGGTCCTATTTATTGATTTTATCTGTCTATTTTGAATGATTGTATCTTTTGGCACAAATTTATTTTGACCATTAGATCATACCATTTCAAATTGGGAGATGAACTTGTCCATATCATACCATATCCACAGTCTCAACTCCATTATGTACACATTGCATTTGAAGAGTAGCATGCAATCATTGAACCTATTGGAAACTTATTCCAATTCGCACATATTAATCATTAAATTACCTGTAAATTCCAACGGCGAAAACTAAATTGCTTTTCTGTGACAGGTCACATATCTGGTTAAGTTGACAGGGGAGGTTGTGCAAAGTTCAGTGCTTCGACAAATGGGCAAGGAGGTGATGTAACTTACAAAGAGACATTGTTCTTAATTTCCCAATTATATTTTTTGATTCATTTACATACCCATTGGCATTTTTTGGTTCATGGATTAATGTATACTACACATGATCGAAATGGAACAATGGAGTGGTTTTTAGTGTAGATTTGACCACTTTACAAAGATTATTTGAATTTCATTATAAAAGGCAACATCTGAAGTTGAAAACGGGAACATACTAGGATTCAAAGAGCCTCCTCAACCTCTTTGAATTGAACGCACAAAGAATCTCCACCTTATTCTTGAAATGTAATATGTATTTTAGGGTATTGAAGCAGCCTTTGAGCCATGCACGGCGGTGTAAATTATTTTAATTCTGCAGCCTGGTAGAAGAGATAAAAATACAGTTCTCCTCGACTAGTACTAGTTCTATCTCTTCATCTTATTTTTCATTGTATTCATTTTTACAATAATGATTTATAAATAAGAATTGTAGAGCATTCTAAGAACTGTATAGATAAAATGAAGAATTAATCTGCTTGTACATATAACAAAATTGTAAAATGAATAGTTATGAACATGTTTTTTAGCCCCTCTTTGGTGTACATTTCAGGAGTAAGNTTTAGCCCCTCTTTGGTGTACATTTAAGGAGTAAGAATGTATTTTTACTATTGATGTGATGAGGAATATGTAGTTGAAAAAGAATGAAAAGTTTCTGATTTGATGGAATAAATTATTTTATTGAAAAATGTGTGATTGAAAATAAGTATAATAATGAAGATGATAAAAAAATAATGTGGATCAAACATGGGCTTAATTTGACTAAATTTATAAATTAATTGAAAATTTGAACCAAATTGAGGCATAAATTTTTTTATTGGTCAATCCACTCTAAACGCTTATGCTTCTGTTTCACAGCAATTTTTGCTTAGAATGAGTTTTCCAATCGTTAATTTTTGGAGAATGTGTGATAAAAAAGTAAGGAAAAATTTGGGATTTATGCAAAAAATATTTTATTGTAAGAATGTATGATTGAAAATGAATATCAGAATAAATAAGTTTTAAAACATAATTATGTGAAGTGTACATTTTATCTGTTAAATCATGGTGTACATTGTGTGCAAATTCAAAAAGTGTTGGATAGAAAAGTGTGTTGATTTTGAAAATTGTACAATCATATGTTGACATGCGATACAATGTCAAAAATGACAAGACGTACATGTAGGATAATTGTTTGAAATAATGATAGTCAAACTAAATTATGAACAATATGTCTACATTGGTTAGGGATGGCAACGGGGTGAGGCGGGGGTATGTCTATTCCCCCGTTTAATTTTTTTTTTTTTAAAGTTTTTGATAATTTATTTTTATAACCATATTCATTAAATTTGGACAAATAATTTTAGTTACTATTTTCTATTAGAACTAATAAAAAAATTTCATTTAAAGTATTGAATTCCGAAATTTTTTTTTTTTTTTTTTTTAAAGGGGGGGGGGGGGGGGGGAAAAATTCCCCGCCTCGTTACCCGTTTAAGCGGGTTTTCCCCTCCCCGTTCGGGGCGGGGCCCCGCGGGTGTCGGATTTTTTTGCCATCCATAAATTTAGCCCCTCTTTGGTGTACATTTCAGGAGTAAGAATGTATTTTTACTATTGATGTGATGAGGAACATGTAGTTGAAAAAGAATGAAAAGTTATTGATTTGATGAAAAAAATTATTTTATTGAAAAATGTGTGACTAAAAATGAGTAGAATAATGAGGATGAAAAAAAAAATGTGGATCAAACAGGGGCTTAATTTGACTAAATTTATAAATTAATTGAAAATTTGAACCAAATTGAGGCATAATTTTTTTATTGGGTCAATCCACTCTAAACGCTTATGCCTCTGTTTCACAGCAATTTTTGCTTAGAATGAGTTTTCCAATCGTTAATTTTTGGAGAATGTGTGATAAAAAAGTAAAGAAAAATTTGGGATTTATGCAAAAAATATTTTATTGTAAGAATATATGATTGAAAATGAATATCAGAATAACTAAGTTTTAAAACATAATTATGTGAAATGTACATTTTATCTGTTAAATCATGGTGTACATTGTGTGCAAATTGGATAGAAAAGTGTGTTGATTTTGAAAATTGTACAATCATATGTCGACATGCGATACAATGTCAAAAATGACAAGATGTACATGTAGGATAATTGTTCGAAATAATGATAGTCAAACTAAATTATGAACAATATGTCTACATTGGTTAGGGATGGCAACGGGGTGGGGCGGGGGGACCCTCCCCACCCCCCGCCCCATCCCCATTTAAGTCGGGGCGGGGCGAGGGTATATCCATTCCCC